CGATACCCTTCACTCGTGTAGACCCTACGCCTCTGGCTACACAATACACTCGACTCGTGTAGACCCTATGTCCCTGGCTACACAATACACTCGACTCGTGTAGACCCTATGTCCCTGGCTACACAATACACTGCATTCGGCTCGTGTAGACCTTACGCCTATGGCTACACACACTACACTCGCCTCTGGGTTACACAGAGTCCCGGTCCCGTTAGGACAGCGGGACTAGGTACCGCAGGGCCCTAGGTCTTCATCCCCGTCTTCATTCTTCGCTGGTTACACACTGCCCTCACGCCTGTGTGCATCCCCTTTTATAGCCCCTGCTCACGAGAGGCGGAGCTGATGCGTACTTCAACGTGAGCATCGCTCCTTAATGAACCAATCACGACGCACTCTCTCTACGATCCGTTTTCCCCAGCGCGTGTTAACACTCCTCCACCAATCACACCGCGCTGCCACCCGATCACTCCCTCTCAGCACGTCACCCGTCCACAGCCAATCAGTACCCCGTAACCCACGACCCCGCGCTGACCCCTGATCCTCCACCGTCAGCGCACGTCACCACCTACACAGCCAATCATTACGCGCTGGCATACGATCTCTAATCCCAGCGCGTATCACCTCTACATCTGTACCAAATGGAAATTCCCCCGGTACAGCTATTGAAGGCTTCACGAACTACGCAGTCGAAATAGATGTTAAATAAAATGGGAGCCAGAGGACATCCTTGTCGCACCCCAAGGTGTACAGGGAAAGGCTCCGACTCCCGGCCACGTAGTTTTACCCGGGCCCGCTCACCATCATGAAGGTCCTTAATGATCGTGAGCAGAGGGTCAGGGACTCCGAAAGCACGAAGAACAACCCAGATCCCAGGCCTACTGATGGTATCATAGGCCTTGACCAGGTCAATAAAGCAGAGATGTAGGTCTTGTAGGAATTCCCTACACCTCTGCTGTAGCAGACGGACAGAAAATATGGCATCTGTACAGGACCGCCCTTTCCTGAAACCGCCTCTTCTCAGCGTGCCTGGCAAGGCGATGTTGAATAATCCTTGCCAGGACCTTTCCCGGCACACTGAGGAGTGAGATGCCCCTGTAGTTGTTACAGTCTGTGTGGTCCCCACACAGACTGTAACAACCACCTTCTTAAAGAGGGGGACCACCAGGGCATCCTTCCAATCCTGCGGTACCCGTCCAGCGGTCCAGACTGTTGTTATGATGTCATATAGGGCAGTCTGTGCACAAGCGCCACCCTCCCTCAGCCTTTCGCTTGGGAGATCATCTCTGCCCGGTGCCTTTCCTGGTCTCAGACTCCGGATCGCCTACAGTACTTCCTCAACAGATGGCACCTCAGCCAGCCACTCACACACTCACCTGCTCACATACACTCACACACTCGCCTGCTCACACACTCGCCTGCTCACACACTCGCCTGCTCACACACTCGCCTACTCACACACTCACACACTTATCTGCTCACACACTCACACTCTCACCTGCTCACACACTCACACTCTCACCTGCTCACACACTCACACACTCGCCTGCTCACACACTCACACACTCACCTGCTCACACACTCACACACTTATCTGCTCACACACTCACACACTCACCTGCTCACACACTCACACACTCACCTGCTCTCACACTCACACACTCACCTGCTCACACACTCGCCTGCTCACACACTCGCCTGCTCTCACACTCACCTGCTCACACACTCACACACTCACACACTCACCTGCTCACACACTCGCCTGCTCACACATTCCCATTCTCACCTGCTCACACACTCACACACTCACCTGCTCACACACTCACCTGCTCACACACTCACACACTCGCCTGCTCACACACTTACCTGCTCACACACTCACACTCTCACCTCCTCACACACTCACCTGCTCACGCACTCACACACTCGCCTGCTCACACACTCGCCTGAAGCTCACCCACCCGCTCACCTGCTCACACACTCACACTCTCACCTGCTCACACACTCACACTCTCACCTGCTCACACACTCGCCTGAAGCTCACCCACCCGCTCACCGCACTGAGGGTTGCAACACTTCTCTCCACTCCTTCCCTCGCGCTCCTCCACGATGGAGTCCCCTTGCTACCAACGTCTCTTCTCCCCGCTAAGCTCTTAACAACAACAGAAACCTTGCTCCATTTACGACACCCGTGTAACTCTTATCTAACAGCGCCGTTTGTTGCTGGCCGGCCGTCTGACGTTGTGGGTCCGTGTGCCCAGCAACTTTGCCAAAAGCCCTGCAGAGCATCAGTACCACCACAGCAGGAGCCATCGCCTGGGCTGCTGAACTGCAGAGACTCTCGGCATAAGGCACTACCACTAGCGACCACGTGACACTTATCCACAATAGTCACCTTGCTTGTAGTTGTACCCTATATTCACAGGAAAAGCTTTCTGTAAAAAGAATAATGCGAGGTGACTTGTTGCCAATATAAACCCACGAGCAACGCTTCCCGGACCGCTCCGGCTGGAGTAAAACACCGGTTGTGAACGTTGCTCAATTGCTGCCAACACAGCCCTTCGTCAATCCACTGCTGGATGGAGGAGGTTGCTCAGACCATACTTCATCGTGCTCGCCGGTGCCGGTGGGTTAAAACTAAGGCCGTAATTATAATATATATTGGGGGAGGGGACACATGCACCCCCCCCCCCCAATATTCAAATAAGCTCAAAATGTCCCCCCCAATATATTGCTATAAAATAGATTTCTGTTCATATGATTGTGGTTATGGTTGTACTTTATGAATCTCTAATCTCTGCCATTACATACAATGAAACAAGAAAAGGTTAAAAATAAAAAACAGAGCAATGTAATACAATACACTATTAAAAGTCAATCCTATGTGTTAGTGATTTTTTTTATATTGTAGGCAGGAAATTCGTTTTCAATTGAGATGTTTTTTTTCTGGGGGGGGGGACCCCAGACCCCCTGGAAGATTTGCCCCCCCCCCCCCAATGTTGACTCCATGGCTACGGCCTTGGTTAAAACAGAGGGGGTGGGGGTCAGGGCCGGTTCAAAAATCACTTTGCCGAGTGATCTTCGCCACGGAGATTCGGATCTGCTATATCTTGTTATCGAAGGCGGACTAGGATCGCAACGATGCCGTTCGTTAACGCAGAGACGCAGCGATGTCTTCTCGAGCTGAACGTCTCTCATCGGTGAGAACCGCCCGGGATAGGCCGCGGTGGTCCAGCACCATGGGCTCACCGCACGTGGCCGCCTGCCCCCAGCACTGTGCAGGCAGCAGCAACGTGTGGGTGGAATCGCGTGCACGCTACGACGCTCTCCTCCCGTGTACACGTTTAGATGCCATCCTCTGGCAGGTCACGAGAAGGCAGTACAGCAAATGTTCAATATTTTTAGGGCAGGGGTGGGGAACCTTTTTTCTGCCAAGGGCCATTTGGATATGTATAACATCATTCGCGGGCCATACAAAATTATCAACTTATAAATTTATATTTGGTCAAACATTTAATGAACTCACCCCTAACGTGATGTCTGGAACTGCGTCTCTTTGGTGAGGCGTGTGATGGGAGCTGGTATTGATGATGATGTTGCTACTCGCAACTGCTTTTCCAGGTTTGCTCCTAGATTTATTGAATTTCGAGTCCCGCCTGCGGTTGCCTTGGCAGGGCCACACCAAATGATTTCGCGGGACTTATACGGCTGCGGGCCGGACGTCCCCCACCCCTGGTCTAGGGGTAGAGTGTTGCCCACACGCGCACGTGGGTTTTCTCTGGGTTGCTCAGTTTTACTCCGACATGTAATAAACACTCTTTCATTGGCTGAAGACGCCTGCGAATATAGAGGTTCGCAGAGCTTGGGCAATCGTTGGGTAGCGTGGGCCCACTGCGTGACTGCTGCTGGTTCCTCCTCGTGGCCCCTCAGGTGGACGCCGTGCGGAGTCGGCGGTGCTGACAAGCTGACGTTGTTGTTGTTGTTATCAAGGCAAACACAATGCCGGTTCATGGCAGCATTCAAGCTGTTGGTAAAAGCGAGTGGGGCGCGGGCAAGGGCAGGAGGGGCAATGGGCGATGGTTGAGAACAGTGACGGAGCGGAACGCGTCAGAGTGTTCGTCAAAACCTCCTTCCACGGGAGACGGAGCGACGAGAGCGGATCGCGTGATTGGACCTTGCAGCAAACCGTTGCGCTGGCGGCGGCTTGGGGAGGCTTCCACCCCCAGTGGGGAGATCATCACACGATGTGACGCAATTTTTGTTCCTGGGTAGAAAGTGGTATTTTTACATTGCTTATGCCTCAAAAGTACAGAAAATGGCTATTATTGCTCACAAACTTTGCTTTTGTGACCAGGACTTTATGTGACCGAAAGACACAAATGCACACCACGTTTTCTCATTGAAAATAAGTACATTTAAAAATATCACTGTCCTTTTAAAGCTTTCGTGACTGCGGGGATTCTTCATCTTGGTTCTTTCGGTAAAGTCACGTAGAAGGGAAATAGTAAAATAATTTAAATAAAACATAATAAAATAACTCTCACGACGTTTCGGCCACAACGCAAGCAGCCGTCCAATGAAACACAGGTGAAGACCAGGTCTGTCGGGGAGACAGCGTCTGAATGAAACACCACCAGCGTGGTGGTGTTTCATTGGACGGCTGCTTGCGTTGTGGCCGAAACGTCGTGAGAATTATTTTATTATGTTTTATTTGTATTATTTTATTATTTCCCTTCTACGTGACTTTACCGAAAGAACCAAGATGATATCAATGTCCTGATCACAAAAGCAAAGTTTGTGGGGAACCATAGCCATTTTCTGTACTTTTGAGGCATAAGCAATCAAGAAATAACACTTACTACCCAGGAACAAAATAAAATTGTTACAAATTGAATTATCGTTGCGTACGGTGATGGCGATGATGGCCATCGTTGAGAGGTGGAGGCCACGGGTTGTAGAACTGCAGTTTGTGAATGCCGCTGGCCCTCTGCTCGTGCTCCCAGGCCATCACCATGGCCCAAAAGGCCGGCATTCACGTGGCGACCAGCCCGGGCCGCGAGAGCATCAACTGGAACCCCGAAGGGGCCTTCTTCTTCGTGGGGACCACAGTATCGACCATCGGTAAGTGGGAGCCCTGAGGGCCCGTCGTGAAGTGAGTGAGGAGGGCCACTTATGGCCAATTCGTTTGCGCAGGCTACAGGATCGACCGCAGCGCCCAACCGCTACCCCCCCCCCCCTCCATTCTGCCCTCCCCCCCAGGTTATGGGAACCTGGCTCCCGCCACCGTGACGGGCAAGGTGTTCTGCACCATCTTCGCCACCTTCGGGATTCCGCTCAACCTGGTGGTGCTCAACAAGGCGGGCCAGGCCACCCTGCACGGCGTCGAGTTGATCGCCGGGGCCCTGCGGAAAAGGGGGCTCAAGGAGGTGAGGTGACCAATCCACGTGGGGGGCTCTGAGGTCGGGGGGAGGGGGGGGGGACACGACTCCAGGGACAGCGGCCCCACTGCTGCTCGAAGGGACAGACACGGAGACACCGAGACACAGACATCAAGATACAAAGACAAGGAGACACAGACACGGAGACACCAGGACACAGACATCAAAATACAGAGACAGACACGGAGACACCGAGACACAGACATCAAGATACGGAGACAAGGAGACAGACACGGAGACACCGAGACACAAACATCAAGATACAGAGACAGACACAGAGACACAAACATCAAGATATAGAGACAAGGAGACAGACACGGAAACACCGAGATACAGAGACAGACACGGAGACACCGAGACACATACATCAAGATACAGAGACAGACACGGAGACACACACATCAAGATATAGAGACAAGGAGACAGACACGGAGACACCGAGATACAGAGACAGACACGGAGACACCGAGACACAGACATCAAGATACAGAGACAAGGAGACAGACACGGAGACACAGACATCAAGATACATAGACAAGGAGACACACACACGGAGACACCGAGACACATACATCAAGATACAGAGACAGACACGGAGACACCGAGACACAGACATCAAGATACAGAGACAAGGAGACAGACACGGAGACACTGAAAAATAGACACTTTTTCAACTATTTTATTTTATTTATCAGTTAAAGCCCACTCAGCTATTCGCTCTTTTTCATAAGCGACCTGGCCACAAATGACACCTCAATGAAGTGGCTTAGGGGCCGTCCATAAATGACGTCACGCGATTTTGGACGATTTTTGACGCCCCCCCCCCCCCCCGTCGTCACAAAAAGTCAGACCCCCCCTCAAATGTGACGTCACAAAGCTCTGCCCCCCCCAAATAAAGCATGCTTCAAATCGCTTTAAACTATTGTCATTGTAGTGCGTATTTAATGTGGCGCTGCACTCTGATGTTGTAGGAGAAAACATTTATTTAGAAGTATTTTTAATTAAGTAGAACGTGTTGTCATTTTGATGTGACGTCACATTTCTCAAACTCCCCTCCCTCGTCACACATCGTCACAAATGTCTGACCCCCCCCAACTCCCTAGGTGCGTGACGTCATTTATGAACGGCCCCTTATGTGGAAATTCATAGCAGCCAAATACTCTAAACGCATGTTGACTCTAAATTCAGAAGGGAAAGCCGGAGGACCCGGAGGAAAATCCTAGCGAGCACGGGGAATGAGAGAACACATCGAGGATCAGAGGGGCCAGGGTTGGGATCGAACCCACGACCTCCTGGATACCCGGCGAGGGTGGTGACACCTTGCCACCGTGGAGACGCAGACGTGGAGGCACGGAGACACAGAAATACAGGCGCGGACACACAGAGGCACAGAAATACAGGCGCGGACACACAGAGGCACAGAAATACAGGCGCGGACACACAGAGGCACAGAAATACAGGCGCGGACACATAGAGGCACAGAAATACAGGCGCGGACACACAGAGGCACAGAAATACAGGCGCGGACACACAGAGGCACAGAAATACAGGCGCGGACACACAGAGGCACAGAAATACAGGCGCGGACACACAGAGGCACAGAAATACAGGCGCGGACACACAGAGGCACAGAAATACAGGCGCGGACACACAGAGGCACAGAAATACAGGCGCGGACACACAGAGGCACAGAAATACAGGCGCGGACACACAGAGGCACAGAAATACAGGCGCGGACACACAGAGGCACAGAAATACAGGCGCGGACACACAGAGACACAGAAATACAGGCGCGGACACACAGAGGCACAGAAATACAGGCGCGGACACACAGAGGCACAGAAATACAGGCGCGGACACACAGAGGCGCAGACCCAGAGACACAGCGAGTGTGCACGTCGAACTTCTTTCGCACCGTACGTGGCCAACCGTGCGAATCGAAGGTGCGGGGCCGGACACCGATCTAAGCACACCAAGCAGTTGTCGAGAAGTGACGCCACGTGTTGCATGTTGCGTGTTGCATGTTGCGTGTTGCATGTTGCGTGTTGCATGTTGCGTGTTGCATGTTGCGTGTCGCTGTGTTGCGTGTCAGTCAGGTTCATAATCCACGCCTACAGGTTGGTGTTAGTGAGGAATGTGTGTCACGTTGTGTGCTGGTGTGTTTAGTATAGGTTTAACACGTAGGCTTTCAGAAATATGGGTGTCGCCTGATGAAGCTAGTTATAATTACTGGCGAAACGTCGTACTCAGATTGTAAATGTGGCTTTCCTCTCCAACACACAACCGGTGTGCTGTACTCGTGACGAATTGGCACGTTCTGTTGACGTGAAAACCCTTACTAGTTGGCTGTGTCGGGTGGTGGCGGGTTTTAACGACATATTTATATATTTACGCGATCTAAAACAAAACAAATCTGTATTATGGGTATAAGTAAGACGTTGGTGTGATGTTGTGCATCACTGTATTTTGTATTAGTAAGCACTGTGTTTCACGTTGTGTATCACTGTGTTTAGTGTTAGTAATGTGGCGCTGATGTTCTCCGTGCACAATCCACATTTCTCCTGCACGGTATCCACGCCGCAGCCTGCTCGCTGCACCCCCCCCCCCCCCCCCACGGGGTGAGAGGCGCTGCCCTGAGGGATGCGGTGAGACCCCCGGCCCGCTGTTGTTGACCCCCGCGTCCCCCAGACTCCCGTTGGCTCCTGAGGCCATTTGGAACTTCCCACGCTGAGCCCCCCCCTCCCCCCCCCAGTGCCAGGTGCGTTTGCTGAGCGGGGGGCTCTTCCTGGGCGTGGGGTTCGCGCTCTTCCTGCTCATCCCGAGCGCCGTGTTCATGACGGTGGAGGGATGGGGCTACGCCGAGAGCTACTACTTCTCCTTCATCACGCTCAGCACCATCGGCTTCGGGGACTACGTGGTCGGTGAGGTCGCCGCCACATCGTCACAGGCCGTGCCGCGCCCGGGGGCCACGGGTCACAGTGACCGCCAACCCCAACCCCCTCCTCCCTCCCATGGACCTGCCGCTCGGCGTTGCCATCGTGGCGAGTGTGCGGATACGAACGTGTTCATTGCGACGCTTCTCGCGACTCCAAATCAGTCCCTCCAGAAAAACGCGATTATGCGATCGCAAGATTCCACGCAAAATCAGCCAAAGTCCGCATATTTATGCGGGGGGCGCGTTTTTTCAAATACGCCGCACTTTCGCCGCATAAATTGCAGATTTCCGCGCGCAAAATATGCGGGCTTGCATGATTTCATAATCCCCGCATTTTCGTTGCAAAAAGTCACATATATCTTAGCAGAAAGTAAAAAAATATTGCGTTTACTTCACACAAGCGCAGCCATTTCCCCTGTTGCCATGGGAACGTTATGAAGTGTTAGAGGCTACGTAGTTAGTTTTATTCAGGAGTTTATGCAACTTTACAGTTGAAAGATTGCACTTTTTTTTTAGTAGTATGTAAATTTACATTACTGTAAGACTGTACTGTTACTGTATTGCTTACGTTACCGTGCACTGAAAACACTTATTTTAACAGAAGATGTCTGTTTTGTATAGCTACCTCTGTAAAACAGGAAGCACACATTTTATTTTTTTATATTTTATTTATTCATTTTTACAGAAGTTGTAGCATATTCATTTTGTAAAGCTACAGAACTTGTTCGACTCAATGTTTTGTAAGTTTGAGCCATCTGTTTGTTAAGGTCTGAAATAAAACAAGATGAGAACTTAAATATTCCCAGCACTTTCTGTGATGTAGTATGCTTGCTTATCATAGGAAGTAATAAGAAATGACTCTTTACATTAAAGTAGTAGCCTAGTGAATAGGGTGTTGGGGGAATCACTTTTTTTTCTCTTTTTCATCAAACCGCAATTTTTGCAAGTTCCCGCAATTTAATCGCATAAAATTGCATAAATATCCCGCATATTCCATCGCATTTTTTAAGAAAACGTGCCGCATAATCAACGATTTTTGCCCGCAACAATCACCAAAAAACTCCGCGTTTTTCTGGAGGGACTGCCAAATGCGACGGTCGCTTCGTACACACAACGCGATTTGATGCATTGCAGAGAGCGCGTCGGTGTCAGCGCGAGGACTGCCTCCTCCTGACCGTGTTCGTGCTGCCTTCCTCTGCGGGCTCAGCTGCACACTTAATACGCTTCCGATAACGATAGCAAGCCCCCCCCCCCCCCCCCCCCACCGGTGTAACGCCGCGTCTCCACCGCACCGCATTCACTCGCTCTTATAGAGAGAGGGAGAGGACGATTCAGAGAGAGGTAGTGAGAGGACGAACCACAGATGAGTCGGATGGCAGCAGTCGTTCCTCTATATATTAAGGTATTATCAGCCAATAAATGAGCACCCGGAGAACGCCCACGCATGCGAGGGGGAAACACTCTATCCCATAAAGATGGGGCAGGTGGAGTTCGCATGTTCGCTGTACGGTGCCGCCGTCTCCTGGCCACCTCGGGTACGGCTCCTCCTGGACGCCGACGGGGCCGTTTGACAACGTCGGCGCGTGATTCACCAACCTTAGCTGCTGCCTCCGCCGCGCGGGTCACAGCCTGCCACGTGCCGCGGAGCCACCGCCACCGCCTTCCTCGTCGGGTCTTCCGCCCGTGACCGCGCGTTCGTCTGCGCGGTCCCGGGCGTACGGGTCTTCGGGTGGGATCTTTAAACATCCCATGGGGGGTAGGGTCACAGGGTGGGGCTCGTTCCCCAAGTGTCTGCGCTTCAAACGGGGCCCCGCGTTAACTGGCGACAATGAGGGTACGAGGTGGAGATCAAAAGCGTCGAGAAATGCTGATCGCTCGGGGCGAGATGCTGATCGCTCGGGGCGAGGTGCTGATCGCTCGGGGCGAGGTGCTGATCGCTAGGGGCGAGGTGCTGAGCGCTCGGGGCGAGGTGCTGATCGCTAGGGGCGAGGTGCTGATCGCTCGGGGCGAGGTGCTGATCGCTAGGGGCGAGGTGCTGATCGCTAGGGGCGAGGTGCTGATGGCTCGGGGCGAGGTGCTGATCGCTCGGGGCGAGGTGCTGATCGCTCGGGGCGAGGTGCTGATGGCTCGGGGCGAGGTGCTGATCGCTCGGGGCGAGGTGCTGATCGCTCGGGGCGAGGTGCTGATCGCTCGGGGCGAGGTGCTGATGGCTCGGGGCGAGGTGCTGATGGCTCGGGGCGAGGTGCTGATCGCTCGGGGCGAGGTGCTGATCGCTCGGGGCGAGGTGCTGATCGCTCGGGGCGAGGTGCTGATCGCTAGGGGCGAGGTGCTGATCGCTCGGGGCGAGGTGCTGATCGCTAGGGGCGAGGTGCTGATCGCACATTCGGAGTGCCGCTGTCGGTGGCGTCAGCGGAGCGAGCATCGACCGCTACATCGAGGGCGGCACCAACGCAGCGGCGAGGCGCCCGCGTCTCCGGCCGCGACGCGCCGGTGGCCCCCCGCTGCACGGGCGGCGCTGCACGGGCGGCAGGCGAGCGGCGGAAGTGGCGTTCGGGACGACGTGGAGCGCGGGGAACCCCCGTGGTGATGGACGCGAGCACCCCGCCGAGTGCGATCCCCTCGCTGACAGCCCCCACTGCCCCCACCCCCCTCCACAGGCAGGAACGAAACCGTGCAGTACCCCGCCTTCTACAAGACGCTGGTGGCCGCGTGGTTCTTCTTCGGCCTCGCGTGGCTCTCCGCGCTCTTCAGCGCCATCACCGGCGCCTTGGAGCGCGCCGTGAGCGAGACGGGGCGAGCGGAGCCGGAGAGACCCCGCGGCGGCGGCGGGGAAGGGGCCGCGGGGTGCCCGGCGGCGCGGCCGCCCGGGGCTCGGCCGCCCCTCCCCCAAAGGGAGGGCGGCGGCCGTCGCAGACGCTCGGAGTTCGAGTTGTTCGTGATACACACCTTCGACGCCCGCTCCGAGATCCCGCTGATGGTGGTCGGCAAAGGCACGTAGCCTCCGCGCGAGGTGGCCCCGTGATCAGCGCCACCACCGCCACCACCGAACAATGGACGTGAAAGCACGCCTTGAGCCCTGACCCCTAACCCCTTCCCCTCCATCACCCCGGGACGGCGCCGTGAGCGCGTGCCGGGCCTGTCCGGGGCAGATCGAGTGTGAGTCCAAGAGACGGTGGTGATGAGCGAGGTCGGCCGTGAGTCAATGAAGTCGGTGCCGAGTCGATTGAGAGAAGAGTCGACGAGTCGCCGGGCGAGGTGGAGCTGAGGACCCCCCGAGGAGCACGGCAAGGACGACCCTGTTGCTGCTGCTGCATCAGGACTCGGGGCCCCGCGTCTCGCGGTCCGCTCGGCGCGCTGTGCCCGAACCATAACCCCGATAGGAATCGAACTCAGGTGGCCGGGTTCGCAGTGCAGCGCGCGAGCCGCTGCACCACCGCTCCCCACCCGTCTGTGTGCGTGTCCACGTGGTGTTGATATCTTCTCAAATAAACGAATGACGCCACTCGTTCGTGTCGGAGAGGGGGGAGTAGGGAGCCACGGGGGGGAGCTACGGGGGGGGGGGGGGAGCCACGGGGGGGGGGGGGGGTGGGGAGCTACGGGGAGGGGGAGCCACGGGGGGGGGGGGGGTGGGGAGCTACGGGGAGGGGGAGCTACGGGGGGGGGGGAGCTACGGGGGGGGGGGGGAGCACGTACCACGTGTAAATGTGATGTAGATGTATCGTTGGGTGGAGTCGCCCCGGATTGATCGGCGTCAAAGCCGAAGCAGGAGGAGGTTCGTCGTCTCTGGGGCAGTGGCGCGGCGTACGGCGGAGGGGGGTGATAGATCGGCAGCGGATATCGAGGGAGGCTGCCGGGGAGAAGAGCGAACGGAGAGGAGCCGCGTGGACTCGAGCAGGAGAGAGGCTGTGAGCAGCAGGTCAATTTTGACTTAAAACTTTCGTGACTGCAGAAATTCATATTCGTTGGTTGTTTCGGTAAAGTCACGTAGATAGAATTTGAAAAAAAAACTAAGAATTAAACCAAATAATAAAATAAAAATTAAAACTAAGAATAATAACAAAGAATAAGTGGCAGGGAGAGAGGTGCAGTTTAGAGACAGACAAGCAGATCGCCGCGTGGAGAAGGTGCGAGGCAGAGAGAGCAGCAGCAGCAGGAGGAGTGGGGGGCAGCAGGAGGAGTGGGGGGCAGGAGGAGGAGTGGGGGCAGCAGGAGCAGGAGTGGGGGCAGCAGGAGGAGTGGGGGCAGCAGGAGGAGGTGCCGATGGCGAGGTGCCGGGTGTCGGCCGCGCCGCGCGTGGCGCTGCTGGGCGCCGCGTACGTCCTCTACGTGCTGCTGGGCGCCCTCGTGTTCACGGCGCTCGAGGCCCCCAGGGAGCGCGACAACAAAGTGGCCCTCAGGGAGAGACTCGCGGCGCTCGGCAGCGAGGCGGGGAACGGCTCCTGCCGCTCTGCCGAGCTCAGGGATGCGCTGGTGGCGGTGAGTAGCGGGGGGGGGGGGGGGCAGATTCACTTACCCACTCACACTCACCGACTCACACTCACTCAGCGACTCACACTCACTGACTCACACTCATTCACCGACTCACACTCATCCACTCACACTTACTGACTCACACCGACTCACACTCACCCACTAACACTCACTCACTGACTCACACTCACCCACTCACACTCCGACTCACACTCACGTACTCACACACTTACCTACCGACTCACACTCAATATCTTACACTCATCAACTCGGTGGCGAGGTGTTAACTACCTCGCCTGGTATACAGGAGGTCGTGGGTTCGATCCCGACCCTAACGCCTGTAGATTTGGACTTTGCGTGTCTCTTTCCCCGCGGTCGCGAGGATTTTTCTTCGGGTCCTCCGGTTTTCCGCCCCACCTTTCAAAACATGCGTTTAGAGTATGTTGCTGCTGTACATTTCCACGTGATGAGCCACTTCGTTGAGCTATATACTGTGGCCATATTGCTTCTGAAAAAAGATCTCAATAGCTCAGTGGGTCTTACCTGGTAAAATACAAATAATTAAAGTTAGTAATAAAAATACTAAAATAATAATGTGCATTTGTAAGGCGAATACAAATCGTAGATCCCAATGCACCGTGTATGGAGAGCTGAGTCCCCCCCCCCCCCCCCTCCATGTTTTCCCTTTCGTCAGTTGTTGAGATAAGATGGACTCTGAGTCGAGCAGAGGTTGACACCCCAACACATAAAGCCGCGTGTATGTTACGAGATGCAGAGCGTGTTTCCTTATCCCCCCCTACACCCAATCTCCCCCTAGAATACGACTTCCTCCACGCGCCTCTTCCCCCCCTGCCCCCCCCCCTTTTAAACAGAAATGCCCCACTCCCGCCCCCGTCGGAAGACCCCCTCAGGGTGGACACCCCACCTCGGCACGGCCCAGCGCCGAAAGCCCCCCCCCCCCCCCACGGTGTTTCTGTCCCCCTACCCAGAAGCGAGAGACGCGTAGTATCGGGGTTGTGCGCTGACCACAGTGAAAACAACGCGCGTGAACAACTCTACAGGTGCGTTTTCAAGATAGACTTAAATAGCTCCGTCTTGCGATTGTCTTATTAGCAGTGTTCCAAGAAAAGAAAAAAAAACCCGATCTACCCCAGGCACACAGCCTTGACCTCGGAGTCCTTAGAAGAAGGTGATGCCAAGATCGCAGAGATATGTTCGGCGAGTAAACACAGATCATCTCCTGCAAACATCGTGGAGCAGCAGCAGCAGCGGCGGGTTTTCATAATCCACTCGACTGGTAGCCAATGCAAATACAAGAGAGCAGGTGTGGCGATGATGACGATGATGATATGTGCACGCGAGATGGGGTGCGCGTAAGCATTCTGGCAGCTGACATTCTGATCGAGCTGGAAGCTCCCCAGCCCCTCACTCGGACAGTGGTCAAGTTTGGAGAAAACGACAGCAAGAGCCAGTCTCTCCAAGTCATTCCACTCACCGACTCACATTCACACACAGGCATGCGTTCATACATCAACCGCCTTTCGCCACTAAGTGGCGGTGACGTCACTAGGGTGCTTGTGCCAGGCTAGGTGCACTTTGAGTCAATCACCTGCAGTGTGAAAGGCTCACCGCTGCCAGGTCACGGGACACACCCAGGTGCCATGGGTTCACCAACTCGTCGCCACGGTGGCAAGATATTAACTCCCTCGCCTGGGACACAGGAGGTCGTGGGTTCGATCCCGATCTTGACGATGCCCATATCTTGTGGAGTTTGCATTTAGCTCTCCCTGTGGTCGCGTGGATTTCCCTCCGTGTCCTCCGCTTTTTCCCTCCACATTTAGAATCAACGTCCGTTTAGAGTATTTAGCTGCGATACATTTCGACACAATCAGCCACGTGGTTGAGCTATCATTTGTGACCAGGTCGCTTCTGGGCCTTACCTGGTAAAATAAAAATATTTTAATTTAGATTGAGATTAATGGCAGGTGCAGCAACTGTGCCACCTCGCTGCGGTGTAGTCGCCGCACTTACACGGCGACGTTCACGAAGGCACGAAGTCGTACCCACTCTCGCACTCGCACGCAGGAACACGTCTATGCAGCCACGGGCTCACACGATCCGGCCGCATGGCTCAGCGGTAGAAGCACGAGCGACTCGCAGTCTGCAAGTTGCGAGTTCCACTTCTGGTTGGGGCTTGACTCGCAGTTCCATCATCCCTTCCTCCACGGTCGAACAAAAATAGCGCCAATCTAAGACGAGCGGGGCTTTCGCGACGGATGTTATGATTAATTATTGATTTTTTGTTGTTGGGTGAGATCGCGTGAATAAAATGTGTGTCGTAAATCCTCCTCCACTCGACACACACAATCAATAAAGTAGTCGCGTGAATCAAACGTCTGTTCACGTGACAACGTGAATGAAACGTCTGTTCACGTGACAACGTGAATGAAACGTCTGTTCACGTGACAACGTGAACAGACGTTTGTTCACGTGACGACGTGAACAGCATTGCGGCGGATGGGTTGGGGAGAGGTGTGGGACAGCACGGGCAGCCAGGCTGTTGGAGTCGACTTGAGGGTTCCAGTGACGCACCGAATTGCAGTGCTCAGTTGGACATCCACAAGTCAATTGCGACTACAGGCAGTCCTCTACTTACGACGGAGATGCGTTACGACGACCCCATCATCGTAAGTCAAAAATATCGTAAGTCGAAGATGGCCTCGTCTACCCAGGAGTCTTAAAGAATGGTGATAATTTAGCAAAACATAGCAATTTACAGTACCGTACTGTATAAACTATATACTGTATGTATTTATTAATTACAAGACTGTATTGCACAGTAAAATGTAAAGTAAAAAAAACAAGGTCAATTCTTAGCCTACCTATATGAACTGCAATTTAATAGAAAGTTTTTTTCACGAAACAATCCTATCTGCTATTAAAACTTTTAACCTTCATTGAACGTATCGTATCGTGGTAACCCTAAAATGAAATCGCTAAAGCTACGTATCATACCTACATTGAACGTATCGTTTCGCTGCTGCGTTTGCCTGTCGCGCGAAATTTAAAATATTTTACAATTTTGTTGTATCGCTATCACCATCGTAAGATCGAAATATTGTAAGTCGGACCACCGTTACTCGGGGACTGTCTGTAGTTATGGTCCATCCTGGTGAAGAGTACTCGGCTACAGAGTACAGAAGGGCCATCGTTGGTGTCCATAGCACTGGGTGCTGATGCTCTTGGTGGCCACCTCTTTCACGTGGTTGTGGAAAATTATCGTCCAGATTCACTCTGAGATATGATGGAGTGGGGTCGTGTCGCACTGTGTTGCCCCAGAAGGTCACTTTCAGAGTGTGCTTGGCATTCCTTTTATCAAGATGATATGCAGTAACTGTTGTTTTGTGGGGATTTGGTTTGAGCCTCCATATCCAGGAAATATCCCCCCACGGTGGTTAGGTCTTTGTTAGGAATGGATTCTCTGTTGTTGAAACATCTCGCTTGATGTTGTTGTTGAGCGGTTTCCTTTTGTGTTCTCTATAAGTTTGGGGGCTACAGAGTTGGGCAGGACTGTTTGCGATCCGGTATTCTGTTTGATTAGCAGCACCCAGGCGTTGTAGCTGGAGTGTGTGAAGCCCAGGCCTTCAACACACTCAATCCACAGCTGACGTCTGAGTCTAAAACCTCGAGCAGGACCTTTGCAACCTGTGGGCTGCTCGATTGGTTTTACAGTCAGAGTAGGGCCTAGGTCTCTTTTGTCCAGCAGGGAGTATATTCTTTCCGGACGCCTCGGGGCACGTGCTTCTCGGCAGTTGCAGTGAGGAGTCCAACGAAACGGTGACAACATTCCGGTGTCGCGTTAATTGGACTCAACACTCTTTCTACAGCCTGCTTATACGTTACGGGAATTCGACTCAACACTCTTTCTACAGCCTGCTTATACGTTACGGGAATTCGACTCAACACTCTTTCTAAAGACTTCTTACCGTGGTCCCAGTCAGCTTTCACCATGTTCTACCTCGGCAATCGTTTTGACAAAATCACGGGGATGTCGATGTGGATGATGATGGGTCTAAGTTGACTCCTGGGGAAGTTTGGGAGAATTTTGCGAGACGCGTCCATTGCGCTCCCAATGTGATCTTTGGAAAAATTGTTAGGTCTGCATTGTAGTTGCATTGCAAGCAAACAGAGTCGAAAGTTCCTTGCTGTTTTGGATCAAAAATCTAGGTGCAAATCTTTGGCGGACATCTAGTCGGTGTGGTATTTGCCGTCGGTCTGATCTACTGCAGAGTCCCACGTAGTATGGTAGCAATTAAACGTCACCAACGTATCGGGCTGACATTGGCACACTTCGAAGCGCTGACTTTTGCCATTTTTAATTCGGGGCTTTGTAAACGTTGGTGATGTGCAGCTCCCCCATCTTGATGCTGGTAGCGTCGGTGGCTTCTTTTTCATTTGGTGGGAAGGCGTTGAACTATGTGATGGAGTTTTCCATGTGTAGGGGTGTTAAAGAGAGGGCCCGTTATGCATGGCAGCCTATGGAAAACAAACACAGTGGGCGGGGCTACGTAAGTGCACGAGCAAGTGCCCTCTACGACGTCCGAGCCAGACACCCTGGGGGGGGCTGGTTCGAACGTTATGATCCCCCGGGGCCCCACCCCTCAGGGAGGGGTTGGGTATAAAAGGGGATGTTTCAAAGGGCTCGGCAGTTTATGTTTAAGCTAAGGGAAGAAGATTGAAGACGTCTTAGATAGAGCCCTGGACTCCCCTGGTTCGATGTCCTTTTCAGGGCCGGACAGGATTGAGCCAGCAGCGTGGTCCCGAAAGCCAGAGCCGGTGCTCTTGTAAGAGCTGGTCTGGAACTCCGGGTACCGGGCCCGACTTACCAGTGTCGGGCCAGTTAGCCTCCCCTAGCCCATTAGTGGAGGATTCGGGGCTAGGACAGAGTTAGCTAGGGGTGTATTGCGAGTTATACGGGTGAGGGGGCCGATACCCCCTCGAGTGTG